TCAAGTTACATGAATTTTTGCTCTATATTTGTCCCGTGATGTTCGAAACTTTTTTGGGTGGCGATTTTACCCCGGTCGATTTATAGTTAGGATTAGGGTTTGGGAAGGGTTTTTGGGGCGTAGAATATTTTTACTTACAACACCTCACACCGTTTAATTCGCCAGTTTTTGAATTAATGCATGCATAGGTGTTAAAAACCATAGGTACATTTTTTAGTAATGTCGATTCTTTTTTAATTTATTGCAAATATTAATTGAATTAATTATTGATAAAAAATATATAATTTTGTTAAAATATATTCAAAGAATTTTAAATCTAAATTTTTTTGAGTATGGTAATTAAGATATCAGCCTATAAAAAACGTCATTGTTTTGCTAGTTTAATATTTCACTTTCATATTTTTTAGAGAAATTCTATTTTACTCGCCCTAATACTATTAATTTTAGTCACGTGAATACTACTATAAACAGGTTTTTTTTTTTTTAGTCTCGAAATTTTTAATTATTCCTAAATGCGGCAAACACGTACAAAGAACTGGATTTTTTAATTACCTAATTATGTAAGGATTGAAATTGAGTCACCTTAGTGCCACCCGTTTGAAGTTGAAACAATTAGTAATAACTAAATTTCAAAAGTCATAAATTTGTAATTTATTCTTTATTATTCATAACCTGTCACAAACATGGTGGGATGTATTAAAAGAATCCATTTTTGCAAATAAATATTTTTGAATATGTAGTATAAATATATAATGGTCTAGAATACAGATGTATTTCTAGTAAATCTTTTTCATTGAATATATAAACTAAGCCAACACGCGTAACCGAAATATTCTAAGATTATCTTTAATGGGTAATGTTTTACTATGATCAGCTTATTAAAATAAATTTGATATTCCTATCGCTATCGTTATTGGATAAAATCATTATCATTATCATTGAATAAGCGATCGTTCGATAGCTGTCTGGATTACCAACCAATCAGGATCGTCCATACTGCAATCCTACCCTGCATGCAATATACTTATTTATTTAGGCATCAAAAAAAAAAAGTTATCAATACAGTGCATATGATAACTCTTTTTATTACAACAGATTTGACAATCATACTGGTACAGTGTATGTACATACATATATTGTACTCGTTTTAATGGAATCCCTGAAATGTTTAAGTACGTACGTATGTATGTACTTATCCCTTGTCGTTAACAGCAATGACATATATAAATCAGGTTAAACTATTATATTTAATTGAACATATCGATATTAATATTAAATGTTTAAATATTCAATTGTTTCCAAAAGTAATTTATTAATTGATTATACGTACGTACATATGTAATGCCAGAGTTACGGAAATCTTTTAATATACACATGATATTGAACTAAATTGAACTAAATTGAACTAAATTGAACTAAATTGAACTAAACTTGATCGTATATACGTATGTATGAGATATATTTTTTCCATGCCTATTATAGTTACTTTGGAATTCATTAAATTAACAAATATATGAAAAATATATTTTTCCATTCCTATTATAGTTACTGGAATTCATTAAATTAACAAATATATGAAAAATATTTTTTTCCATACCTACTATAGTTACTTTGGAATTCATTAAATTAACAAATATATGAAAAATATTTTTCCATTTCTATTTTATAGTTACTTCGGGAATTCATTAAATTAACAAAATGTATGAATGTGAAGAATATTAATCAGGTGAATTTCATTTATATCATTTGATTTATTATGTCCAAAATAAGACTATCACGGAATTCTGTTACTATCGTGCATCCCAGATAAAAACAATGGATACCAGTTTCGACGGGTTGTGAATTGAGAAAGGTAACATGAATGCCATTGATATGCGATATCAACGCCTCTCATATGAGCGTGAAAACAAGATGATCTAAATATAGGATATATTTCCTCTATGGTAATCTATATTTAGAGTTCCTTGGCGGCGCTCATTCATTAGAATTCGTCTCACGCAACATGCTGAGATTAAGTACTCTAGCCATGGCTTTCCGGCGCTCGACTGATCATCTACCAATCAAAAGTGTAAATTTTGCTTATTCAGCGCTAGAGATTGGACCCGTTGAGAAAATCTCTACCCGGGTATTATTAAATTACCTGGGTTATCCGGGTAAGTTATTATAATCGTATAGTAACAATTTTTACCCGGGTCCAAGCCCTATTCAGCGCTCTAATTAAAAAAATTTTACTACATGTGATGCTTTTTTTTATCTCCTGATTGGGGTCATAAACATGACAAACAAAATCCCGACAAGGTCATAATTCCAACGAGTTCGCCAACATTAACCGTAATTTCGGATTCATATATTGCATGTGATAAATGTAGGGGCATGAAAAACAAGTGTGATGGAGATTATTTCGTTTGTCGGGATTTTTTGACCCACTGAACACAAATTTTTTGTTTTTTTTCCTTTTTTTTTGTGTTATTTTTGATCGTTTTGATTTTTAGATATCAGATCGAATGCTTTGGAAGTCACATGACCAGGCACTTCGTTTTGCGTATCCCCGAGATTCATTACTAGTTACTTTTGAATCGCGTATTTACTCTAGGCGTTTTATATTCTATATCCTTAATTTTTTTCTTAATTCTATCGGAAACGTTGCTAAATTTATACGGATCGTTCCATCACATGCACCAATTCCTTTACTTTGCAGATATTGATGTAAAGGTATTATATAAACAAGCTATATACATCCATATAAAAGCTCGTTTATCGTTGATGATAAAACGTGACGGCCTATTTCATTGACATTCTGGATGCTAGGTAAATCTATTTTCTTTTCAGTACGCGTCGAAAAAAGAAAATGCCCATAGATATCCTGAGTCAAAAAGACAAGCTACGTACGGTACGCGTACTTCTTGAATTATCTCATCTATTGATATTTTGAACTTGGTATACAAAATCTTTTATATACTTTCCGAATAAGAGGTTCATTCTAAATAAGTCTAATAAGCTCAGATATATACAAATTTCATACTTTACATTGTAGATGACAATATGTCAAATTCGAAATTCGCTCATCATGACCACACCTCATATCCACTGAATTTTGAATTATATTACACTTATTGATCAACTATTTTCTTAAAAGAGTCAATCGGGAAAAACTCGTAAAAAGCATTTAGACATCATTTACCATCAGAGATTCTTTCAGTAAACGTTATGCATAAAGATGTTGATGAATTCAACTAATTCTGTTATTAAATAATAATAATAATAATAATAATAATTCATTGTGACAATAATTTTTATTTAATTTGAAAAAATGTATGATTGTTTATGTTACTTTATTACTGTAATGCTAATATAAACAGACCTCATCAATATTAATTATCGATAATAAATATACCATATACAAATGAATTTATTGCTAAAATAATAATAATAATTTGCTAAGAATATCATCCTTCTAAAATTTATCGATAATAAATAATTGTTTATCGTTTGTTACGCGATTTTTTTTTATTGTATATTCATTTACTAATCGCTAATTAATTAAAAATACATAATGAAAAATTATCTTAAGTCATATGATTAGGGATGCAAGTGCTCAAAATTATAAAACCCTATATTGTGATTTACATGCGGTCTACCCGAAAAAAAATGCTGTTGTTTAAAAAAATTACAGGTAATTTGCCTACAATACAAGTGTAGGTGATATTTTAAGCAGCATAAATAAGTAATTTTGGACAAGTATCTAATGCATTGTTAAGATCATCGTCATCTTCGAGCGGATTAACTTCGTTAGTCTTTTCATCTCTATATGATAAACTTGACACACGTTCTCCTAGACGATCACATATTTTCTCTCGGAGTTGTGCATAGGTAACGTCTGATGGCACTCGAATAGCAATCTTATCATCTTTGTATGATATCTTGATTTTCATAAAAGTTTGTTTATTTTCTGAATGTGGACTTATAGCACTTGGTGAAAAAAGTTGTGAATTATTATTAGATGACTCATCATGAACACGTGGTGATCTAATAAATGATTGACTAGTCAAAGATGAAGAAGTATTATGTTTATTATAACCACTTCCACCACTTCCACTTAGAGGTGGTGGTAATTTTTTTGTTTGTTGAGAAGTAATAGGTGTATGATTAACTGGATAAGTTAACATCGGAGGTAATGGATCAGGATCTGATGTATTTCCATTTGCACCCATAGGTTGTCTAGGATCATTCGGAGTTTCAATATCACCATCTCGTAAACCAAATAATTGATCTATTAAAGGATCTTTTAAAATATAAGGAGGTAATCTCAATAATTCTTTAACATAAGTATCTAAATCAGCACGTCTTTGTGCAGTAATAACTTCATTAACATAAGAGAGTGGACCAGGCATAAAAGGTAAAATACGTTGATCACCATTTCGACCAGCTTCATCGGGAAATTTTTCGAGGAGAGCAATTTGAAATTCATAAAAATCTTCATATAGTCTATATAGAAGACGAAAACAACCAGAAAATAATTCAACTCGAACCAAGAACCAAAATCGTCCATCTTCAAAATGAAAAGATTCAACTGAAGCAGAAATTATATCTTCATCATTAGGAACGGTACCAGAATCATAATGACCAAATTGTTGATCCGAATTAATTGGTAAATTATCAGAAGTATCAAGAGGTTCATCTTGAGAATAATCATAATATTCAAGAGGAACAGAATCATGTAATCCAGAAGAAGTGAAATTATTATTATTAATATTATTATCATAAGATACTGGTGCAACATTTTGATCATAATCAGAGGATACAGGAGCAAGTTTTGAATCATAATCAGAGGATACAGGAGCAAGTTTTGGATCATGATCAGGAGGTCCAGGAGCAAAATTTTGATCATAATCTAAAGATACAGGAGCAAGTTTTGGATCATAATCTAAAGAGACAGGAGCTAAATTTTGATCGACCAAAGCCATAGGAGCGAGTTTGGGATCTATTCCGATAGGAGCTAATTTTGAATCTAAACGACCTAATGAAATACTACTTGCTTGATAATCTTTAGTCATTTTTTTCCATTCTTCAACTTTTGGAACAATAGATTTGTCCATTAACTCCTGGATATTTTCAATGGCTTTACCAGTTGCGTGATCTCTAATCTCAATAAAAGATACAGGAATTAAACCCGGACCACCTAGCCTACCTATAGGCTTAGCAACAAACCATTCATGATTTGATTGAGCAATTACAATAATAGGTTCACCAGCTTTAGCATCCAATTCATCAGGTCGTTCCGCAACAAAATCATAAAGAACAATACCGTATAAAGGTTGAGGTTTTGGTGCATCTAAAGTATTACCAGAATCAGCTTTGTCATCAACAAATCGACTACTTTTTTCTAATACTTGAAAATACGAAACAGGAACCAATCCTCGTAAATTAGTCGCAGGATTACATGCTTCATACCAATTTGGATCATTTTCGTTATCGACGACGTGAAAGAAATCACCTTTAGAAAAAGATAATTCCTTTTGTCCCTTAGCCGCATAATCATATAACGCCTTAATTACTTTTTTTGGAGGTAAAATAGAAGGAGGAGGAACTTTCGTCTCTATGGGTGTTGATATTTTGTCCTTTGAAACAGACCGTCGAAAATCCAATGTAGGTTTAAGAGATTTTGAAACCTTTACCATGCTCTTCATTTGAAAGTTAATTTGAGGGATATTTTAATTATTTTCACGAATTTTTTCTGAATAATAACGTCGAAAAATAAAGTACAAAAATAGGCTGCGATCAATTCAAAAAAAAGAATTGAAAGTATAAAATAATTTAAGATTTCGCATGAATAAACGATCTACCAAAGAAATAGTAAAAATTAACACCAGTTACGTACGAGATTACACTATTTATAAGGTTAGTAATGTCTACGAAATTCTTTTGATTGTAAATTTTTCTGTAAAGAAAAAACAGGAAGGATATATACGAATGTGTTTACCGTTAAATCAAGGCTTAACCGCTGGAAATAATTTTAGAGATCACTATTAACTACGTCAAAAGCCACAGATATAAAACTACGTTAAAAAGGAATTTATTTGAAGAAAAATAAAAATAAATTGTATAAAATGTTTTTTTTTATCGAAATTATAATTTAAAGACCGTTTTTTGCAAAAAAAAAGTTACAAAAATCAGAGGACCTTCAAGTCCGCGTGACTAAACTCAAACAAGGGTACCTTGTGACACTACATCATTGGCCGACCTAATTGGTATCACGATTGGATTATTTAAACAGTGCCGAATACAATACTTTTTTTTTTTTTTTTTTTTTATGCATTTTATTGTAAAAAAGCCACATTTAATTGTTTGTTGATAAAAAGTGCATGCTAATTAATATAGTCATATTTAATGTAAATTCATTCATTAATTTGTTTTTACGATCGAACCATGATAAATCGTTTCGTTTCAATTCTCCAAACATATTAAAAATTTCACAAATCTCAAAACATATTAAAAATTTCACAAATGCACTCCTTTGTTAGAAAAGTAGTGCACTATTTTATACTAAAATTGTTTATAATTTTGTTTATAATTTTGTAGAATACACATTTTATAGATATTCGGTGATGACGATAAAGAATTAATTTTATTATCTTAGAAGACGTAAAATAATTTATTATTTATGGGTGCAAAAAATGTAATTACACCATCATCTAATAATCAAAATGTTTAATTTTTGTAAAAAATAACTTCACCATCATCTTCTATAAAGCGACATTGAGTATAACTTCTCCATAAAGCTTCAAAGATAGGTGTATCATCAAAAATATAATAAGAACCAAGAACTTTTTTAAGATGAATGGTTGCTTCTTCAGCATGATAATGTGGCATTTGGCTAAAGTAATGATGAGCAACATGTGTAGACGAGATTCGGTGAAATATAGAGTCAAGAAATCCGAAATGGCGATCCACTGCGATAATATTTTGATTTGGATACTTTAGTTTCATGAATTTTTTTAAATAGAATCATCTATATAAGTTATATAAGTTAAAATACCTGTACAAGCAGCTCCACGAATAAAATTCCATTGTTTTGCGCGATAATGTGGTAATTTTGGATCAGTGTGTTGAAGAAAAGTTATGAGAACAAGCCAATGATTTACAACCAAGTAAGGTATTAAATAATATTTTGCTACAGTAATGAATGAATAAACATAAGAAAAATAACAGATGATAGATAATGCTATAATAATTCCTATATCAGAAATAATTATGTCGTTATAATGTTTAGGATCAAATATAGGTGATGATGGGTTAAAATGATTGACCCAGCGGTCCTTGTATTTTTGTCCCGATGCGTTAAAGATCAAATAAAGCGGCCATCCAAATAATTGTTGAAGAATCAACATAAGTAATGAAAATATAGGCGTCTCTTCGTATATTGATGTTCCGTCTTCGTGTTCATGCTTCGAAGGAAGTCCCAGTGCTGTTCGTGTTTTTGGTACAAATACCTGATCTTTCTCTATATGACCCGTATGTTTGTGATGTTTGGAATGTGTTATTCTCCACGAATGATAAGGGACCAGTAGAGCTGAGTGCAATATGAGGCCTACTGTGTTGTTTATAGACTTGTGAGGTGAAAAGGCTTGATGTCCACATTCATGAGCGATCACCCATACACCTGTCGCAAAAGCACCACAGAAAAACCAATATACAAGCCAGGCGATAAAACGAAGCATCTGTGGAAGGTATGTGTCAATAAACGTCGCTGCGTAGACCAGAGCCGCAATCATAGCAAGATCTTTAACCAGATAGCCGGCTGATTTCCATGTGTCTTGCTCAAAGCAATGGGGTGGAATTGCCTGTCGTATTTGTTGTATCTTAATGTCTGGTGGCACATAGTCTCGCTCAAACTTTGTATCTTTATCGACCTTTGATTCGGTAGTCTGACGATGACTCAGTTGGGTTAGTTGCGTTTCAATGTTTGGATCCGCCATTTTATATGAAAATTCGTTTCCACCAGGACTCTATATTTATAAGATCTCGTCCGCAAAAAAAACACATAATGCACCATATTTGCGATATTTCAATTTTTCCCCAAAAATTGGTTCTTATTTATCGTATTTCAAATGCTAAGAATCTCGATTGGCATAAAAATTCCTATTATCGTATAATTGTAGTTTGGGGACATGTGTTAAAAAAAAAACGTGGCAAGTTGATCCCAGCCATCAATCTGTACAAAAATACCAATGATATCCTGTGTAACGAACCGAAAACAATAAATGTTTTAAGTTGCGTATTATAATTGTTATTAGATCGTATCTGATAGGTATCGGTGAATGGCGAATCTTGACAATCTTTTTTTATATTGTCCGGGGCAGAGCTAAGAAAATTCTACATATTAGTGTTAGCGTTAGCATTAAAGCCATTAAAGCTTACCTGCGTTTCTTATTCGAATAACTTAGAGGTTGGACCCGTTGAGAAAATCCCTACCCGGGTAAACAGGTAAGAACAACAGGTAAAAACGTCCCGAGTGCCCCGATTTTGTAGATCGTTACACAATTAATTAAGGTTTTTTTTTTATACGTTTTACAATACTTTTTTCGGAAGCTCGGGTAACTTAACTCACAAGTAAAGGGGAACAAGTACACTAAGAGAACTTGTAGCTTTCGCCTAGCCCTATAACATATTCGCTTAATCCAACTTAATCCAACAGCTTTCATATTCAAAGTCATGTCTGAAATTACTATTGAAATTACTAAATGTAAGGAATGCGGAGCCACTGAATCTAGTAGATTCCGTCCATTAAAGAACGAAAAATGGAAGCAGGCTGAAAGAAACGGCTTAACAAAGGTAACGTGGGAAGAGGGCAATATTTTATGCCACTTGTGTTATATGAATTTAGTAGAAAATCCGTTACAAAGGCTTAAAAAAAGTGCTAAATGAGTAAAAGTCTCTGTTGAAGAAGTGGAAGATATAATTAGGAATGAAATAGAAACTATAGTTAGAGAAGAAGTTATAAATCAAGATGTAGAAGATATAATGGAAAATGTGGAAGGCATAGACTCGATTGATCTCATTGGGGCTATTGAGACCATGACAAGGACTTTTTACGAGAGAGAACACGTAAAGAAAGAAGGTCCCATATATTCGTACGATGAATTGAGGAAAGTATTTCAAGCAAATAAGAATCTCAACAATTTTCTCGACCAACTGTATTTGATAGCCAAGCCTCTTGAGCGTGGTGATAAAACCATGGACTGTATGAAGAAATTAATCGTTTATATTTGTTATCTTCTTGCGTCATTAAATAATACCAAAATTAATTCCTTTAAGTTCGATGTAGCGTATTATTTAGATTCTGTAGGTATGAGTAATGAAGGCTTAGATACGTTGGCAAATCTTGGTGTGACTACAACATCAAGAGCAGTAGATAAAAGAAAAAAAAAAGTTTCAGATGCTTACGAGAGATATGTTGAAAATGCCCTTTCAAAATTTTCTGGCAACGCGTTCATGCTGAATGTTGACGATTACCACAATATTCACATTCCACGGCAGTCTGATTCTACTAGTACGTCTCGTCCAGCACATATGGCGATCATTATAGCAAATCCGTGTCCCATACCAGCGATACCGTGTAATGGAGTGTTAAACCCAAAATTCATCGATGATGAACTGATTATAAAACACCTTGATGAACGGTTCATCATAAACCTTGGTATTTCTTATCAAGAACGTGTACGGGACTGCATAGGTAAGTGTTCTGATGATGAGCTTATGGAGAGACTAACTTTGCACAGT